TTACGGCCAGTGGGTAGTCTTAGGGGTGTTTTTATTTCATAAATTATGTGTGGGATCATCTTTTAAGTGTGGGAGAGCCATGCTTCGCCATTTCATTTAGGATCCATCATGAGGATTTAGGAATAGGGGATTTGAGGATTGAGTATGGGGGGTGGCAAAAGGATTGGGCTTCCGATAACCTCACTCACACTACGCAACAAAGTTTTCCGTGAGGCCGTGGTATCACTAGGGTCGAACCGGCTCATTCGGAGCTGATACCGACCCTAGTGATACCACGGTCTCACAGGAATCCGTCGTGAAACAACCACAGCGTTATTTTTTCGCCATGTGGCTGAAGTTACCAGACCCTATTCTTCTCAAACCAAAGGGTAATAAGGCTTTTGTAGATTTTGCACGACTACGCACTGGCAACTGCTCTGGTGTCACGGGTGCCAAATATAGCGGAGTCTTAACTTAAGCCATATGTGTTAAAATGGTTTTGCGGCGAGAAGTTTGTTTGCATACGCTTAATCTATCTTAGAGAGATAGATAGATTTGAGATAAATGACGAGTATATCATATCTAATACCGACCCCACGGATATCTTATCAGTGTTGCGGGTGTCCATGGGAGGCGCTAGTTGCTTACCATCAGGTAATCGTCTACTCTTTGGCTACCCTATGCCTTAAAAAGTAGCTACCTACCTACTTATAACTATACTCCTAGTTTTTTTTGTGAGGGGAAAAATCATCAAATGACTTCTCCCGTCCAGGGTAGGGCGAGAGGGAGTGTCAGACTCTTACTGACTAAAACCCTCCCCGTTCCTTCTCCTGCTCTGGGCAGAGGTCGCGGTGCCTCATTGCGCTTACCCCGCAACCCCGACTGAACATCAGCCCTATAGGGCCTATTGGTGCTCTATTGGCTCTTTGAGGCGCGCGCGGAACGCTATGCGCCGTCCGCAGACCTGCGCTTACGGTGGCACCCCTAGTATGTTACTAACATACCTACATATAACTTTCATGTTTAAGCATAGGTACTTAGATCATCATAACATATTAGTGATCATGAAAGTACCTTGTAAAGTATTCCACCTTGTACCACAATCTGTATAAACACAAAATATACGGCAAGCTGTTAGATCTTTGTATTTTCTATCTTTATCTTATTTTGAATACTATATCTAAGAGATAGTTACCCAGCTACGCAAACGATAAAGTATTGTTATTGATACAACTACTATTTAAAACTAAGGAGAATAACGTTACCCAGAACATAAATCGAAGAGATCTTTTGTCGTGGGTATGTATGATCTTATAATTTATTAAATACGGATGGCGACAGGTTAGGTAAGTTAGGAATCTATAATTAGTTCGGCAGTTTGATAGTAAAAAATATAAGACACGTACTGTTGTATTTGCATAAAATGAATTTAAGGAATGGGCCGCGACTACGTTCACATAAAAAATGATACGTGACTAATATTTTTAATTCACCAAGAATGTATTAGCCAAAATAGAACATTATCATGTTTAGACTGAAATATAATCTTGACTTAAAAATTTGCAAACGCAAAAATGTACCGCGGGTCTGCTCGGAGCAAGAGAACTGGTTGGTTTTTAGTAAGTAAGAATCTGATATTCTCGCTGTGGTTGACAGGGCGGGACTTATTCCCGCCATTGTGATTTCTAACCTAAAAATCCATATTGTACTAAAATTGTTTAAATAAAATATTACGATTATTGGCAGCAACCGCAAAACTTAGTTCATAATGTAAACATAATGTGACCTCACTATTGCTTGCTAATTTTGGTTGCCAAACGGATGTACGGCTACAAATCAATCCATACAAAAACCATTTTAGGGTGATTCTCCGAAAAACCTTAACTTTTATTATCAAGTCATTATCCTCCCAGGTTGTTAAGCATCTTAGTAATTTATTATATACAATATTTTTTTAATCGGTTGCTTGTAAGTATTGAATTAAAGTAAGTAAGTAAGTATTAAGTTAAAAATTGTATTAAATTTGTTATTAAATTAAATCTGTGTTTAAATCAGCAGACTCGTTAATTTTCGGTTAAGGATAATGACATCATTAATTTTTATTGAATTGATGTGAAGAATCACCCTATCATGATCGCGCATTGCATGATTTTTCCGCACATTCAACGGTTAGTTTATACTGGTTTGGGTAGTTTTTTTTTTGAGTGGGAAAATCATTGATTATCTTCTTTCGCCCTGGAAGGCCAGAGAGAGTGTCAGATTCTTACTGACTAAACACCACCCCGTTCGTTCCCTCGAGCGAACGCCCGAGGTAGAAGAAGGCACATAGTTAATAACGTTAGCACCTATAAGCTCGGCTGGTGGTTTGAGTAGCTGTGTCTTCCTTTGTACAATCAACCAAGGTATTTTATAAACGGGTAATAAATAAATTTAATTTAGCAGGGTAAAGGAGACGCGGTAGCTGAGCTGCCGTGCTTCGAGTCGCAAGCTCGATTTCTGTACGGAACAACTTTTTATGCGAGCCCCGAATTTTATTGTGGTTCCGCGTCAGGGTGTCATTTGTGTATTTCAAGTCACGTCCACGAAACAGAACAAAATATACTAGAGTCAACGCTTCTTTTTTTTAACTACGGATACTGTAACTATTGGTACTTATATAGGTACTAAAATTGTATGCTTAGTGTGTTAACACTTGTCTGACTATATACCTACTTACATGGTGTGGTATTCGCTTTTTCAGCAAAATGTTTAATAAATTGTTATAGTACCTAAGGGAAAAATTATGTTAAACGTACCTTATATCTTAGATATATCTCATAATCCTGCTATATTAGCAGGATTGCGCGTTTGTAATATTTTACAAACGCACAATTTAATAAGTTTAGATGGCTACTTTTCACACTAGCACTGCGATCGAAGCCGCTAGCATAGATCAGTATAGTATTTTTTAGAAATTAGTCGGCAACGAGCATAAGTATAACCTGATGGTAAGTCGCCCGAGTGTACGGCGCGTAGCGTTCCGCGCGCGCCTCAAAGAGCCATTAGACCACCACAGACGGGGCCCTAAAGGGCTGATGTTCAGCCGGGGCTGCGGGGTAAGCGCAATGAGGCACCGCGACCTCGGCATAGAGCAGGAGAAGGAACAGGGGGGTTTTTAGTCAGTAAGAGTCTGACACTCCCTTCTGCCCGGCCTTGGGCGGGAGAAGTCATTTGATGATTTTCCCCTCACAAAAAAAAACCTGATGGTAAGTCATCGAAGCTTCCAATGAACATGGAACTTCAACCATGCATTATTCTGCAACTTACCAGGGCTCCTTATAAGACCTTCCACTTGAACTGTAGTGGAAAAATGGCAGGAGGAATGAAAGGATGGCGGGAGAAATGAAAGAAAAATGAAATACATTAACGTATGTACTTTTCTGATTACAAAGTTACATTCGTGTGATGGTTACATCCAGGACGCTTAGCTCTGTGGTTGGTTTACGTGTGAGTTGGAGGTATTCCTCATAGCGCTCCTGTTTTGAAACGCACCCATCCAAGCGTTCTCGTTTTGTTCCTCCAACCGCTCCAAAAAGGAGCACTTCGGAGAACGATTAAAATATTAAAAAATATTTTCTCGGAGCGCTCCTATGATTAATTTTCGAATACAGAGGGGACTATTCTAACTGAAATTATCGATAATAACTAGGTAATAAGTAGAACACATTGTTATAATAATATACAACTAGCGGCCCATCCCGGCTTCGCACGGATTGGGCATTTTTAATTTTTTTTATTGTAAATCTAAGTTCACCAAATAAATGCATACCTAAAACCTGCCGACACGTGTACCCATACTATTTTTTATGGTTAAAAATCTTATGATTTCTCTCAATTATGTTTCCCATTACAACACCCTTACCACGCAACTCAATTTTTTGTTACGTGTACGTCAGTAAATATGACGCGTGAAAAATCAAAGTCCCTGTAATCTCGAGCGAATCGGACACGAGCTGTTTTATGGGCTAAAATTTTTTTCGCTGGTTTTCTATTCCTTATTCCGGAAACCATTCCTAATGGTTTGAACTGTGCAGTCAAACTCCTCAGCAAATAGGCGAGTAGGCGTGAATGGATGCTGCTCATAAACCGAGACCATACGCTGCACACGTTCCTGTGTGAGTATGCTCGGTTGCGGCATACGTGGCATCCTTTCTAGACTCCCCTCGCTGTCGAATCGGCGAAGCCATAATTTCACCGTATTTCGCTGAAATGAAAAAAAAAAACATTTTATGGCTCAATGTTTGAGGAATCTAATCTAAGAGTTCATACAAAAAATTACCACAAACTGAAAAAAAAAAATTTGAGGAATCTAATCTAAGAGTTCATACAAAAAATTAACACAAAGTGAAAAAAAAATAAGTAAGTCATTTCATAATTACTGGATATTAAAATATTAAACATTAATTTACTTTTACAAAGATAAATGGACCGTTCATAAAAGCTGTGTTGTCTTATCCACTCAGCTAGGGGAAGTTTTGAGACGTTTTCTAAAAATTGTGAAGTGCATAGATATTGAGCAAATAATAATTTATAATAACTGACTTAACCTCGCAAGTCATAAAATTGGGTAAACAAAAAGGTGGCCCATTAGTAAAAAATGGAACTTTCTCTGTAATTGGTCAAATAGAAAAGGGGCGGATCGCCATGTGGTCATCTCATGCAAGCAAAAATTTTTCATAAATGGTCAACCATGGCCTTCGGCGATTGTACATACCCGCTTTTTTTATTTGTAACACTTCGTAGGTGGTAATCAAACGGGTGGAGGTTACAACTTCTTACTTCATTTTTTCTGTGTGATTTACAAATTGTTGTCCCTTGTCTGGTATTGTGTATGTGAAATCATATGTTTGTAAACTCGAAAATACCATTTACAATTTAGGAAAATATAATTTAAACTAACATCCAATAGAACCAGTACCAATTTACCAAGCAGCGTAAGTTGACCTCTTCGTAGCCATAAAATTAACGTTCATTCTTTTCAGGCGGCGTTGCCTCATCCTGGATTCAATGAAACTTACGAAGCTTTTGACGATAGTATCGCATGTCCTCAGACCACCAGAAGTGGCGCGCTATTAGGTACCATGCAATGCTTGCAACTAAACATATACGTACCAAACAACGCTAACCTCAGCAACAAGGTACCTGTCATGGTCTACATTCACGGAGGATCCTTCATCCGAGGTAGCAAAGCGATAGAAAACCTATCTCCTAAATTTCTTATAAGAAATGACGTCATAATAGTCTCTATAAACTACAGATTAGGCCCATACGGCTTCCTATGTATCAGCGCACCTGGCTACAGCAACCAAGGCTTGAAGGACCAAGTTTTGGCCTTAACATGGGTTAAAGACAACATTGAAGCGTTTGGAGGAGATAGTTCCAAAATCACAGCTATTGGTCAGTCAGCAGGAGCCATGACCTTAGACCTTCAACTGCTGACCAATAAAAATTTAGTTCAAAGGGTAATTATTCAAAGTGGTACGGCGTTGACAACGTGGGTTATAGGCAGGCGTAATGATAGTATACCGGTAAACTTAGCCAGTAAACTTGGATATTCTGGTAATGATGTTCATGGAGCACTACATTATCTTGCTGATAAGGAACCAATGGACATTATACAAGCAGGTGTGGATACAGGGATATCTAACGCACACCCATTAACAAAACCATGTGTTGAAATAGTAGGTGAAGATGCATACCTAACAGATTTTCCAGTCAACCTGCAGCCTCAAGTTAAAGGAATGGATATTATGATCGGCCACACAAATAAAGAAGTTATGTTTATATATCCTAGAGAGTCTAACAAAGAGTACTACGAGAACTACAGGTTTGCAGAAGAATTAGAACAAGGTTTTGACAATGTTTACGATGAGGATAATGTACGACATTTTTATACTGGTGATAAAGATTTGAGCTTGGAAACACAAAACGATGTCTTTGTTTTTGGAACTGATTTCGTATTCGCCTACCCTGCAGAGAGAACCGTTAATAGATATTTGGAAGCACATGCAAATAAAGTGTATCGATACTTGTTCGCTTACGAAGGTGGCAGGAACAGGAATAAAGTGTTGGGGAATTTCACTGCACCTGGAGCGTGCCACGGAGACGATTTGGGATATTTGTTTGAGATGGAAATATTTAAGGGTGTCGTCCCCAATGAAGATGATCAGAAAATGATTGATGTTATGACTACAATGTGGACGAATTTCGCGAAATATGGGTATGTTTATTATTATTTACACACGAACATACACTTACTCGCTTACACGCACAATCGAATTGAGAACCTCCTTTTTTTCAAACACACATACACACACACACCACACACACACACACACACACACCCACACACACACACACACACATACACATACACACACACACACACACACACACACACACAAACATACACACATACCTAACCATACATAACAACTACACACATACATTAGTTTCACAAATATAAAGATGGCGATGTAATTTTTCCTTTTTCAGAGATCCAACTCCGTCTTTAACAGACATAATTACAACGCAATGGGAACCCACAAAAACTGGATCAACACGGCGGCCATATTTGCTATTGAATCAACCAATCACACTCGAATATCGATTATTTCACAGAAGGATGGCTTTCTGGGAACTTTATTATAAACTGTATAAGAATGAAGAAAGGGGATTTAATAGGAAATAAGATTTTATACATCTAGCGAAGTGTGTTTTGTATCTTTATGTATATAATTCTGCTGTACGTGTGTATGTCATTGAACTCCTCCTAAACGGCTTGACCGATTTAAATGAATTTTGCTGTATGCGTTTAAGTGGTGGCGCTCTTGCTGGTTTAGATTCATAAATCAGCCCGGCAGATGGCGCTGATTGCTTGAAAAAGCACGTGAACTCAGAATTGGCCCTAACGATTTCGCTGAAATTTGATATGTAGGGGTTTTGCGGGAGGGTCTGCTAGTATAAATATAAAAGCCACAAATCAATAAGTTTTAAAAAAAGTACATAAAGCAAAATTACAAAAAAATAAAAATTATTTTACGTATCAAAACCGGTGTATTCATAGATTTTTGATATTATATTAAATAGAAAATTAATTTTATTTTTGTAATAATCAGAGGAGAAAAAAATCAGATAAATTGATCATAATCTTTATAATTTTAGAAGATCTTCTTAGGGGAAACCGGGCCTTAAGGGAAATGAAGAATAAAATCTGAGAAAAACAAGATATTAAAAAATATCTTAGGTCCAGTCCAATCTTAGTACCAGTCTTTGGTGCTAATATAACTTTAAAAAAATTAAAAAGCTCCCTGTTTTGCCCTGTGTCTGGGGTAAAATAGTCATATGCGAGGCATAATAGGCATGTACGTTTAAAACCGAGCACAAAAAGTACAAATGTGAAGGGATTTGTCACCATTATCTTCTTCAATGGCGCAAGGACAGTGGGCCCATCTCTTGGCATGCACGGCAAGTGACCAAGCCCGGTGGAAATTTGTACTCAGATCTGAATCTGAGTACAAATTTCCACCGTACAAACATTCTGCATCTTCTTACTCCGATTCGTTTTCTTTATTTTTTTCAATTTTCTTCCCGCCTTGCTTCTCATTAGTTTCCGTATTTGGACTTCTTCTATACCCTTCTTGTATGGTGAACTGGTTATTAATGCCGTTTTTCCGCGTTTCCTGGTGACCCGTTTTTGGACACGTGCTTTGGGAGGATGGGTCACTTGAATTTTACTCAAGTAAATATACCTCATTGTACAGAAGGTGTGAAGTTGTCACAGAGAGCTAGAAATTCTACTTGTGTCACCTGTCTTGAAGGTAAGCAAACTAGAAAACCATTCCCCAAAGAAGGCTCCCGTGCAACCAGCTTGCTAGAAGTCATCCAGTGACGTATGTGGACCTATGAAGCATACTTCTATAGGAGGGGCAAGGTACTTTGTAACGTTCACTGATGATTATTCACGCAGAGTACATGTTTACTTCATAAAGAACAAAACGTCGCTGTAGAATGAATACCTCGTATGTCAAAACATCATATATTTCTGTTTTTTTTTTTAAATCGTAAGAAAACCTCTTATTTTATAATACGGCAAAGCCGCGGACCCTGTATAATGACTACTCTACCATCTATGGAGTAAAGAAAAAGAAAACCTCGTATCTATGACTCGTCGGCCATCTTGCAGTCATAAATAAGAAAACCGCGTAAAGTGCATGGTGTGGGCGTTACTGTGTATTATTGAAATTTTTGAGACAAATTGTGGATCAAGCGATCTGAAGTAAGTTTTATTTCATTTTTTACACTTTAAAGTACGTTTTGTATATATTTTTATAACTGGGGTATATCCGTTTAGCAATAAATAAGCATTTGTTTATTTGGCGGGAATATTGCAATGAATACCTCGTATATCACCGCTAATGCAAACCAACTAACGACATACTAGGTTTTTACATTAGACTTTAACGGTTTAAATCATCAAACTATTCACTCTCAATAATGAAAATAAAGTGATAACATAGGGAAACTTATTTTTTTATCAATACGTTTAGTATTGACAGCAATCAATTAAAAGTCGCCTATGAAAACCACGTATAGTTGTTAATTCAAACAATAAACGAGGTTTTCATGTCATGATTGTTACCGATTTTATGGCTTTTCATTAAAATTTAAATTGTTAATATTGCTTTTTTTTCAGGAAAATGTTCAGTAGGGGCAAAAAAATAGTAGCAGCTTGTTTTAATAACCATTCGGCTCCAGACGACTTAATCACCCTTGCTGACTTAGAAGAATCTCCGTCTTTGTTACAGTTGGACCCAAATATTGTTCCACCGTCGGCACCGTCTATATCCACTGTAGGAGGCAATGACAACACTGAAAATGTAAATTTAAAAGTTTTAGACACTGAAGATGATACAGATTTCAGCAGCGACGACTCTGTGGAAGATCCGAATTTTCAGTCAAATGACAGTCCTGAAATTCTGAGGGAAATCTCAAATTATCAACGAAAAAGAGCTAAACGAGGAAGAAGTGTTAAATCTCAGTGGGTGTATGAGCAACAGAAAAACAAACGATTGAAGGGTGAGGGATATCTGGGAAGAAGAAAAAACGAAGAGGGGAAAATTGTCTATGATGTACAAAAGGCGCCAAAAGAAATGAAACCTCGCTGTGAACATAACAACAACGCCAAATACTTTGAATGCTGCAAACTCTCGGATGATTCAAGATTACAGATTTTCAAGCATTTTTGGCTGTTGAATAGAGAAGCAAAACATTGCTTCGTGTCATTTCTTGTACTGAAAAGTGGCACTGTTCAAAAAAAAAAACTGCAAGCACTAACTCACTCAGAAGTTTTTCCTATAAGTACCATTTTAAAGATAACGGGGCAATATTAAGAGTTTGTAAAAATATGTTTATAAACACGATAAATATCTGTTCACAACTGGGTTGAAAACACCATTCTAAGGAATGCAGTGCCCGTTCCAGACAGAAACAGCAACAGAGGACAAGCAAAGAATTTACTGAGAGAATTCTTCCATTCTCTGCCGAAGCTAGAGTCACACTATTGCAGAAAGAGTACAACAAAACTATACTTAGAACCCTATTGGCAATCTAAATCGGCACTTTTTAATGAATATTTAAAATATTTAAAAGACCAAAATACTACTCATCTCAGTGCCTCAAGGTATACATTTTGGGAAGTATTTGAGAGCCTGAATTTGTCCTTATTTCATCAAAAAAAGGACCAATGTGACACTTGCTGTGGTCATAAGGCTGGAAATGTTAGTGACACAGACTATCAACTACATCTAATTCAAAAAACCGAAGCACAAAGCCAGAAAGAGAAAGATAAAACAAACAATGATGATTCTGTTGCTGTATTTACAATGGATTTGCAAGCTGTCTTGCTATGTCCGTATTTAAAAGCTTCAGCCCTTTATTACAAGATGAAGCTCAAGGTGCATAATTTTACGATAAATAATCTGAAAACCAAAGAAGGATTTTGTTTTCTCTGGGATGAATCTGAAGGAGGTTTAACAGCTGACGAATTTTCAAGTATCATAGTTGATTTCATAATTAACTATGTTGACGTGGCAGTCATTCGCAAAGTGATTATATACAGCGATTGGTGCACTTACCAAAATAGAAATTCTATTCTTTCTAATGCACTTCTATTTGTAGCCGTTAAGACAGGTATAGTCATAGTCCAAAAATACCTTGAAAAGGGTCACACCCAAATGGAATGTGACGCGATGCATTCAACAATTGAGCGAAATATAAAAAATCGAGAGATTTATTCTCCAGCAGGGTATGTTGAAGCTTGTAAGACTGCCCGTACCAATTCTGGTCCCTACAATGTTGTCCAGTTAGACCATACAGCCTTCAAAAAATACAGCTCTCAACCGTATTTTTCATCAATAAGACCTGGCAATAAAGTCGGTGATCCGCAAGTCACTGACATACGTTGCCCTTAATATGAACCAGAAGGATCAATTAAGTACAAATTAAATCATTCTGAAGAATATCAATTACTACCACGAAGAATACATACTCCCAATGCTACTGATTGTTTTCATCAGCTATATCAATCGAAGTTACCAATTACTCGGATAAAATACAATCATCTTCAGGAATTGAAATTTGTAATTCCTCGAGATATACACCAATTTTATGATAATTTGCCCCATTGATAATATTTTTCTTTTCTTTTTATTGTTTTCTGTACTGATTGAAATTGTTACCAAAAACTAATTGTTCCCATTTAAATTTTTCATTTAATCTAATTCAGTGTATTTATTTTGAAAACCTCGTAACTGCGCAGATGCAAGAAGAGAAAACCTCTTATGTCATTTCTCTAGCATATTCCAGTAAATTAAGACATTGGTTGATAACGTAACTAAGTCCTTTTTATCATTCAAAACATAAAACAAAATTACATAAAAATATTTTAAATATTGACAAAATTAATCATTTTTTTTTGTTTCCTGTAAAATTTGGATTTCTGGACATACGAGGTTATCATTCTACAGCGACGAAAAGTGAAGTATTTAATAAGTTTGTTGAATATAAAAATGGAGTAAAGAATGAATTGGATACAAAAATAAAGATTCTCAGAAGCGATATAATTTTGATACTTTCTTTAAGAAGCATGGAATACAGCACCAAACTTCGAATCCACACACTCCTGAACAAAACAGTCTCAGTGAGAGAATGAATAGAACTTTAATAGAGCGTGCTAAATGTTTAATTATTAACGGTGAATTACAGGACACATTCTGGGCAGAGGCAGTGGCTACAGCCGCGTATATTGTGAACCGATCTCCCACCTGTGTCTTGTCTGATATCACACCTCATGAAATGTGGACTGGAAAAAAACCTGACCTGAATCACATGAGGATTTTTGGATGTCCTGCAATGGTGCTTATTCCTAAAGAAAATAGATCTAAGCTTGATGTTAAGTCGCGCAAGTTAATATTTGTTGGCTATAGTGACACAACAAAAGGATACCGATTTATAGATCCTGAAACAAAGAAAGCTATTATGAGTAGAGATGTCGTTGGAAGCTTCAATAAAAAGAAATAAAGTGGATGATGTTCCTGAAAAAGAAATCATGAAACATGATTTAGTATTAGAAGGAATTAAAAAGGTAGAAGAAAATACAAAGAAAAGTAGTAGTGAGCAAAAGGAACAACAGATTTTTACTTTACCTGTGTGTACTGATCCCAAAGAACCTGAGGACAGAAACACTGATAATGAAATCCATGAAAGAAGAGAAATACCGTCTCACAACATTAGGGAGTCGGATGATTCTGATCAATTTGAAGATGTTAGTGATGTGACATACATACCTGACAGGACTCTTGACCCACCGCTGGCATCTAACATGACATT